TCGAAGACTAGGATGCGAGTGTACGTGCATTGTAGGTACAGATCGTCACCATGGTTCTTTGTAGTCCAGGCAGCTTCCAGTGGCCCTGAGATTTTATCAGCCTCTTCGTGCTCGTCCTACCCAACGCTGCGAAATTGGGGCTCTTTCGGGGTCAGGAGAATGAGGCTCGTGTTTTTTTTTACTGTTTTTAGCATTTTGATACCCACGTATAGCTTGCTGGACTCTGAACATGGTGGCTAAGTATACTCACGGGCAGTTTGCCAGGCTCTCCCAGAGTTGACATGGAACTTATCTGTTGGAGGCGACCCCTAGCGCCTCCCATATACTTCCCTGTCACTTGATTGCAGACTTTTGCCCAAATTGACTCGTAGAATGCAATCCGCATAAGCGAGAGCGCACCCACACACGCATGCATGAATACGCCTAGTGAATACGGAGAGTATGTGCCTAATCGGCGCTGCAGAAACAGAGTCCATCCCCTGGATCCACCTGCGTCTCGGCGAAGCAAAGGTCGCTTTTGGTCCGCGATTAACCTCCTATCCGCCACCTGGGACGCGCCACGTAGCCTCGCGACTGGTCGGCTCGAGACTCCTCATATGAGGGAGATCCGTGGTGGATTACCTTCCATAGGGAATATTTATGTCCATGCGTATATGCGTAGGTGTTCTGATTTCGCATACTGGTTCTGTTAAAAGTGATTAAATGTGCCATTTGGGGTTGTTTCTAGCAACAATCTCTGTATGTTTACTTGCAATAACATAAGTTATCCTTATTTATATCCAATCGCTATGATACGCCTTGACATGATACTCCCGAGTATTTCTAGCCGGAATTGAAGATGGGAATTCTTTTAACACCGAAGTAGTTCGCGGTACTTCAGTAGCTTTCGTAAGGGGAAAATCAAGTGACTGTACAAATTTTTGGGGTATTGTATGCTATCAGAATCGGCAATAACTATGGTGCAGGACAATCTTTGTTTATAAGCTACGCATCCTACCCTCAGAAGCTTCCAGTGGGAACTTGGTGGTGACAGCTAGAATGACCAAGTATGAGGTTATTTAACTGGCGGATATAAGAGGACGCTAGGGGTTAACCATCATTTCTAATACTACAGCGTCACTACTTTCAAGTACGACAGTAGGAAAGTTAGCGATCTAGATATCGTCACTGTGTACTTGGCTATAAGCACAGTTACTTGAAGACTCAAATCCGATGTTTATGGTGTGATAAATGTAGCTTTTCTTCGCCACATTTTGTCAATATGAAACTAACGAAAATGAGACCGATGTGTCTCAGCGCTTTTAGTTCGACATGGATTTATTACCACACGCGTGGTGCTAGAGTAAGCTTTCCGCTTTAGGCCACTATGTCGCAGCTCAAAGTGAACTTTATTGGTTGGCATAGAAACCAATAGAATCCACAAATCTCCAATCTTAACTTTCTATTTACTGCCTATTCTTTTTAATGGCAGGGTATGTTGCGGAAAATAACTTCTATGATGCTGAGATTTTTGCAAAACTCCGGACCGCAGGTGTCTGCGGTGGGGAAAGAACACGTAAACTTTCCGGGGGTTAAAGTGTTCACCGCCACACGATGAGGGTCCTTCGTTTCGCCTGTCTCTCAGCTAGTCCTATCGATCAATGCCGTGAGCAATCACCCGTCAGCGGAATTGATCTGGGGAGCTATAATCGTCAATGAACCCAGTTAAGCTAAGGCTGTAGTTATAATTACAATCTTAACCCTAACCACAAATCTTCGCCGATAAAGCACAAGATCTCTTGCTCTACCAATATATGTGATTTCGTGGAGTTCATAAATCGTGCTTTTGTCGCTTTTTTCGTCGGTGTCGTGGATTCTTCGTAAACGAAAGCAAGTAAACAAGCGGAATCTCGTTCATTTGAGCACTGTCATGTTTGCAAATGCGTTACTGCTGTTTTTGGCTATTGGGGCTTCGTTTGGAACTTTAAAAATCTGGATGTAGTCGCTTTTTGCTTACTTCCTATTCTTTTTTCATGGCAGGGTATAATGTGAAATACAACTGCAATTATGCTGAGATATATCACAATGTCGCTAATTTTTATTTCCTGCCTAATAATTTCTAATTGCAGGGTATTATATGATATAACCATAATGTTGCTGAGATATTTGCAAAACTCCGGACCGCTGGTGTATGCTGTGGGAAACGAACGCGCATACCTTTCCGGGGGCTAAGGTGTTCACCACCACACCATCCGTGTTCTTCGCTTCTCCTTTCTCCGAGTCGTCTTTTATAGGCGCTATCAGCAATCACTCCCTCAACGGGATTGACATGTCGGCATTGGACCCAGTTAAGCTGAGACTGTGGTCGAAATCACAATATCAAGTTTTTGTTTACTGCTCTCTACAACTTTCCAGAGCAGGGAGTTATGTGAATTACAACCATAGTGGATTGCGATTTCGACTGCAGCCTCAACTTAACTAGGTTCAGTGCTGATTTATTCTTCCCAGATCAATCTCGTTGACGGATGATTGCTGATAGCGCCTACAAAACACGGCTGAAATGAAGGAGAAACGAGGGATACGCATGACGTGGTGGAGTATACATTAGCTCTATGAAAGAGTAATAACAAGGTTCGATCTCCGCTGCAGACATTTGTGGTCTGAAGTTTTGCAAATATCTCTGCATAATTGTAGTTAAAAATTTGAATTCGTTCACCACTTTTACTTGTTATTTTAACTGTAAACAGCTTTAAAGATCAAATGGACTTTTTGAAAAACTGCATTTAAATAGGTGGAGCACTGTCACTTTTGTAACCATGTTTTCTACACCTAGAGTTTTCGATTTATCGATGAACTGCCAGCATTTTGCTTAGAGTTTTGATACAGTTGAAATTATAGAAAAAATATGCTTCGTATACCTTATTCCTTGTTGCAGACTTCTAAACAGAATTCTCCGCATATAACTATTTCGTAAAAGGTAACAAAGAGGCAGGTTTGTGGAAAAAACAATTGTTTTTACTTCGGTGACCAGCTTTTGGAAGGATGCCGTAGTTGATACGCATTGATAAGCGTTCATTAGACTGTTCCAACATGATCACCACTGCAAAAATGGAAACTGAGAGTCTGCATGCTACCGTGATAAATTCATTGTTGAAAAGTCGATTTGGCACCAACATGGAGCTGCGTAAATCCATCGTATTATATCACGTGTAACCAGGTGAAACTTCTGGGAAGTGAATTAGCGACGTGCTAAGAGAAGGACAGCATAAGTATTTCCTGACAATGAATATATTAGGAAGAGCATCCAAGAATCCTGATGAGAGTTCACTAGTTGCAAAGACTGATATTCTCTATATGCGTTCAAAAACACTCACCGGATCCAGGGCCATTAGAAAAAGTTGTATGCACTTGCTATTGCAATTCATTTTTGGCAGCGATACTATATACCTCCGCGCCCTGTCAGTCTTTCTCAACTTACAGACTGATTTTTATACGGTACCAGTGGAAACTGCTAATCGATTAAAAATCTGTGGTATCCTGTCGCTTTATGATACGATGTGTTGGATTTATATGACAGCAAAGAGTATGGACAGACTTATCCGTTGTTTGTCGTTTAGAAAATCTTTACTCGACAGGACACTAAAACGAGACATTTGAGTAAGCAGGGTTTCTTAAAAAGAAGTCGTTACGATATGTCGTATTAGTGGGAGTGTTCGGTTTTCTTAATATTAAGACAGCCATGGAAGCCTTAAATACTTATGCTTTCACTTATCAGTATGTAGCGACCCTACTTGGGCTATGTCATCTTCACATCCAGAATTTCACCATTCCTTGTAGACGTCACTGATGGATTTGACAAAATGATATAGTAAGCTCGGAATTATTCAAAACCTTTCCAGAGTCTTATGCTAAGACAGTTGTTGAGTAATTTGTGAGTGTCTACGGTGCAGGAATACCATTTTTCCCTCAAGGTGAATGTTAACCTACATTTCGAAAATTGTTGGTTTGAGTCCACCCAAGGAAACGATATTCATGGGAAATTTTGAGCCTGGATGTCGTTGAACCTCAAACCACACGTATCTCGGCAACCGTGGATTAGGGGCAAATGAACCAGAGATGTCGAAAATGTGGAGCCTCAGTCGGATTGGCGTCGTTATCGACTGGTTTCTACAGTATTTCTACTTAATGAACAATTCTGATAACAAAACACTTGACCAAAAAAAGTGTTGATTTGCTTTTAAGCGAGGGGATCTTTGGGCTACGCAATTATGTAAGATGGACGAGTGGTGAATTTATGCAGTGGAATTTGTTCCCATCAAAATGCCTAGGGTTTCACATTGATTCACAGGCCGAGTCCGTCGTTCATAACATGTTTTGAAGTTTCTGTCATTCCGTTTCTGTCTTTGTCTTTTGTCTTGATAACATTTATGTTTACTGACGGAATATGCCTGGAGTTCTACACGAGCATTTTCCGCGTGAAATTTAAGTGAATGCCTGTGAATTAAGTATGGTTGTAAGATGTCCGAATTTCAATTGACGCACTATCGGGTCGGGATGCGCAATCCTGTTTATGTTGAGTACGTCCATATCGAACACATCTTGGCTTTTAGTTGACTCTCATGTCATGTTCCACTCCTTGAGGTGGAGGACTAACCTGATAATCGTTATTTAAGAAAGGCGATGCGTGCCGAGTGGGGCACATTTGTTTCGCTCTGCCTCATCAAGTGAGTGACTGGATCCATGGCAACAAAAAAAAGAGGACTTAAGAAAAAATAGTTTTTAGTTATGGCAGTGAAGCATAGTAACTTAATCAGACTATGTCACCTAAATGACTATGTATTATTAGGGTTTGGGAGAATGAAATCATTAATGGAAACATCGATATTCTAGATTTCCCAACACAGCATAGTTGCTAACTTGTATGTAGGACTCAAAATCCATGACATCTCCTAAATTTTTGTCAAAGGCACGTATCGGCAAATGTCATTATTTTTTAGGGTGCTTGTGTTGGCGTCGTTGCCATGAACTTGGAGGACGGAACCATCCATCGTTTCCGATCTAAGAATACTGTTTTGGCCACAGGAGGATATGGGCGAGCATACTTCTCCTGCACATCAGCTCATACCTGCACCGGTGATGGTGAGAATTTTCTACAAACATAGTTTGTGGTAAAAAATTTCGTCCCTTTTTCCTTATAACGTTTATAACCTCTTTCTGGAAAGGTTTATGATTTCATGGTCATATTACCTAGTATTCTAACGTGGACATTTCTCTCTAAGTTCCAGTGTTTTCTTTTTCATGTCATTTTATGCTTACTTTAGGCTCTTGCAGTAAAATTAGAAAGAGGAAGCAGACTTGAGCAGGTTATTTTTTTAAACAACATAATCCTGCGTAAATGGCTAACAAGAATTTGTGGTACATCTGGTTAGGAAATCATTTACAGTCGTGCCGCGTACATCATAGTGAAATTTCTTGCTAAACGAAAAGGCATTGAACAGGAGAAAGGCTAGTTTGACCTGTGAAAAACGAGGCCAAGGAGAAATAAGCCTTGTTACTTGGCGGAAATAGAAAGTCAAAAACACCTGCAAATGGGTGCTTCGTAAACGGAATGAAGGTGTAAAGAAATACGTCGTCGTTATAAAGTCTACTCTACGTTTCTGATGTACGAAAACGATCCATTTCTTCGTAGCATTGTAGCTTAACACTTACCGCAGCGTTGGAAAATCATACGGAAAATTTTCTATAGGAATCATACGATGCGAAAGTAATGGATGCTTCTAACTACGAATCAACATGTATCATCTAGTAATGAATTTTATTAAATACAATGAAAATTGCGCAATGATGTATGTCCGGAAGAAATACAAGTTGTTACCACCGGACATTGTCATTATATATCCACCATCAGCATCGTGTATAAAAGGGCATCACTGAGTGAGGATGCCTCAATCGAGAAGATGGCTCGCTGAGGAAGATCTGGCTCGACAGGAAGGCGAAGACGCAACGTCGAGGCGAACAACAAGCATGGACCATCGACTCGGATCATCGGCTCTGAGGAAGACGAAGACGTCGAAACGTTAGCCGAAAATAAATATATTTATCAACCTCGTGCAAGCTTATCAAGAAAGAATACATATTGATTAGTCACACCGAGGTTTAGGTAAGGTCAGTTTCGAAATATTACAATGAAAATTGTTGTAATCTACAAATTTTTGCTTATAGGGCAATTTTCACTTATTTTACCATAACAGAATTCTGATTTTTTAGAGCCTATGACTTATTTTTTCCATTTTATTACTTCAACGCCTGTATTCCGCACAAGAAAGCAAATTATTAAACGGAGTATTGTTCAGAATGACAATTTAGTCTTCATCCATGCATTTTTTAGGTTAACAGCTGCAAGTGTTCCGATGGAATTTTTAAAATTTCAGTCTACGTTACCATTTTTTCCGAAGTTTTCGTTCTTGAACACTTGAACACTTGAGCAGCCCGTCCTCACTGGTTGTGCGGGCCCCAGTATAATCACCATTTATCGGAGATTTGCTGGTTAAGCTATTGTGATTCCCTGGAATCCCGAGGTCAGCCCGGCCAAAGTCTGCCCCAGGTCTTCACCACCACGGGCAGTCGCAGCCCTTGTGGATCAGACAGAGATTTACCACCACGTGACTTTGATACCACGACGGTGGTGGATCCTGGTATTGCTTTACTCTTAGCTAGGCTTCCTGAAGGAAACGTCGGACTCCTTCTCAGCTTGGGAGACTGCCAGGGGGACGAATCACCTCGCTGTCCATCGCAGTCCGACACCCAGGATCAGCTCCCAGCCACGATGAGGCGGTAAACCGTCAGGAGGTGTTTTCATTCTAAACCTGCTTAGGTTTCAAAGGACATTATACAAAAACTTTACATGCAAGTACTATAATAGAGGAAAATCTCTTCTGTAATTTTATAAAATTGTTAACCGTAACCCTAGTGATCAAGAAATTTTCGTCTGTTAGCAAGAAACCTGCTTTGTCGCGAAAGGGTTAAGTGAAAGTCTTATAGTAGCTGCTGCATAGCAGGTGGATGGTATAATCCACGATAATATTTCGATATACCATGACGAGAACAATACAAAAGACAAGTATTCTCTGTAAGTTGATGAAGTAAACCACGAAATTCAAGACCTGCCGTTGCTGTTATCATTCTTGTATTGAACTTCGCTTCTCTCGGTCTCTTCCGAATTGACTATCGTTTGACTAATGGATCGCGTTAGTTGAGCAAATTTCCAACTACAGAGTGGTTACTGGAACTACATTGTTTTAGTTTGTACTGTGAGATCTAATATGTATATATTATCTTGAATATTAGAAACGACATTAATTTCCGAGAAAAGAGGCAAAAATTGTTACATTGTCTTCTAATTTTTTAATAAAATCGAGAAATAATTTTGTGCAATTTTCACAACTTTATGCAAAGGTTTATAGCTAAAATTGAGAAATATAAATGCCTTTAATACGCCTCCGAGAGAATCGGAATAATTCATATGAAGTTTCTATGTGTAGAAAATATTCTTGTAAAGAAGTACAGAACGTAGGACGGAAGCTTATAGAGATGTGTCGTTTATATGTCTTTGAACAAAGTTAAACTATTTTTATCCAAGTTTTATATGTAAGAGGTAAGTCTTTGGTAAAAACAACATTCTTTTAATCTTTGCTCCTTGTTTAGGCACTGCATTAGTTGCACGTGCTGGAATCAACAACACGGATATGGAATTTGTCCAATTTCATCCCACTGGTATTTATGGTGCTGGATGCCTCATTACGGAAGGTTCCCGTGGTATGTGAAACAGCTGAGTCTTTTTAAAGTGTTGTTGCTAGGAATGACTGTGATTTTTCAAACTTGTTCTCGTTAAAAAAATTTCCTAGGTGAGGGTGGGTATCTCATTAATTCGAAGGGAGAACGTTTCATGGAGCGATATGCACCGAATGCTAAGGATCTTGCTTCTCGTGATATTGTATCTCGTGCGATGACCGTTGAAATACTTGAAGGGCGTGGTGTAGGTCCAGAAAAAGATCATATTTATCTTCAGCTACATCACCTTCCTGCCCAGCAGCTGCACGAAAGGCTTCCAGGTTAGTCTTTACATTGTATACCACTATGACGTAACGCGCTTTTTTATGGCATGGACACGTATAGCGCAGTGGTTAGATGTGCCCTGCAGTACACAGTTCGTTTTTGTTTCGGTTCTGCTCCCGGGGTTCACCAAGCCTTCCATTCCTTCGGAGTCGCCAAATTAGTAACAGGCTTATCTGGGAACGTAGCAGAACTGACTTGATAGTTAAGTAGGCCACCGCAATTCGTTATACAGACTGGATGCGCTTTCAATTATTTCTTAATGAAGTCGAATGCATGATGCATCCCTCAAGGGTTGATAAACGCTGAGAGTTGTAATTTTTATCCTTTATACCATATAGTCTGCAAGTTTTCTCGTTTGTGTTTCTGTTGTTGCGCTAGAAATCTCCGGAAATGCTTGAAATTTTGCAAAAGTCTGATTTTTGGTTTTTTTAAATTAGGCCTAAATAAAGGACGTGGTATCACAATGCTCTAACCTTTCTATTAGTTGGTATGGACTATTGCAGTATGTTCTTTGTTATTTAGGTATCTCTGAAACTGCCATGATTTTTGCTGATGTTGACGTTACCAAAGAGCCTATCCCAGTACTTCCAACTGTACATTACTGCATGGGCGGGATTCCAACTAATTATAAAGGAGAGGTAGAATAGTAATTTTAGAATCTGTTTTTACATCATAATCTCCATCGTTCTTACACTATCTACTACTCAACAAGAGTACTGCTGCTATGTCCTTTCATTTATCGTTGACTATTGTTCAGGTCATACAGTACAGTAAAGAGAAAGGAGATCAAATTGTGCCTGGTCTATATGCCGCTGGCGAATGTTCAGCTCAGTCTGTGCATGGCGCTAACCGTCTTGGTGCAAATTCTCTCCTAGATCTCATCATTTTTGGAAGAGCTTGTGCGATTACGTATGTTTATTGGAAGCGTTAATTTGTTTAACACCAGATGTTATACGCCGTAGGGACACTTTTTGGTGAGGAGTTCACCGAAGTATTTCGATTGACGAGACTACTGCAAAAGAAAAGGACGGCTAAAATCTTCCCATTGACAACTCTAATTTCGTAAGGCGAGCGGCGTTCCTTGCATTTGCAGCCATAGAGTAACAAAGAGAAAGTTAACAACGAGGGCGAAACTTAGTCGTCACATTTTATTTTACTGCCTACTTTTTTTTAATGGCAAGGTATTATGTGAAATTTAACTACAATGTGCTGAGATATTAGCAAAACTCCGAACCGCACTTATCTGTAGCAGCGATAGAACATGCTATAACCCTTTCCAGGGACTAACGCGTTAACCAGCACACCATTCGAATCTTTCGTTTCGCCTTTCTCTCAGCTGTGTTATTGACCTATAGGGGCTATCAGCAATCACCCGTCAGAGAGGTTGATCTGAAGTGCAAAAATGGGCATTGAACCCAGTTAAGTTGAAACTGTGGTATGAATCACAATGTCGTCGCTTTGTTACTGCGTACTCTTTTTTTGTGGCAGGTTATTATGTGAAATGTGCTCCTCAGATCAATCCCGTTGACGGGTGATTGCTGATAGAGCCTATATGTCAATACCACGGCTGAGAAAAAGGTGAAACGAAGACCCGCATGGTATAATGGTGAACGCGTTAGCTCCCGGAAAAGGTCATAGCGTGTTTAGTCTCAACCGCTGACACCAACGATCCGTAGTTTTGAAAATATTTCGGCATCATTATGGTTATATAACAAAACTTAGCTTCTTTTTTTGTGATTGAGGAATAGGAGGAAATGAAAGGGCAGGGTCGGTACGCATTGGTTTCAGCGCACATTGGGTGTAGCTAAAAACTAGTGTATTGAGTGTGTTAAAAAGTGTTAATTTGTCTTATCCAGTCAGCGTTGTAATTCAGTATCTTGGGACACACTAAGCCAGGAGTAGGTGTTCCCGATCTTCCGAAGGATGCCGGTGAATCATCGATTGATAACATTGACTCTATCCTACACAAGAAGGTTTTTTATTTGTTCCAATCATTTAGCTATATACTTCTCCTGTTTTTGAAATACTCTTTCGTAGGGTGGTACTCCGACTGCTCAAGTACGCCTGGAAATGCAAAAAACTATGCAAAAGCATGCAGCCGTGTTCAGACGAGGGGATATTCTTCAGGTGAATTTTCATAGCTTCTTTGTTGAAGGTTCCTTAGGGTTTTGTTAAGGGCATACGTATGGAAGTTATGTTCGTTTTCAGGAGGGTGTCAAGAAAGTGACAGATATCTACAAAAACTACGGAAATCTTGAAGTTACTGATAAAAGCCTGATTTGGAACAGTGACCTCATCGAGACATTGGAACTCCAAAATCTTCTTATAAATTCTATTCAAACTATTGTTGCTGCTGAGAACAGGAAAGTAAGTTCTTCTTGGTAGAGCATTGTCCATCGAAGCGTTGGCGATCGTTTAAAAGTGCTTCGCAAAGCTTCCTTGTTTGTAATGTTTGTTCAGTTGGCTAATATACCGTATGTGACATAGGTATGAGAAGATATTCTTTCATTGATGTACATTGGCGTTTGCAGGAATCTAGAGGAGCACACGCTCGTGACGATTTTCCAACGCGTATCGATGAATATGATTACAGCAAACCGATAGAAGGTCAGAAAAAGAAGCCGTTAGAGGTGCGTTCACAGTCTTCGATGTCCACAAAGCTGTGCTTTAACGTAGGCGTTAAAGCATAGACATGTTTGTGACTTCTAATAGTCTTGAGAGCTAGTGACTTATCATCCAGCTTGAAACCTTTGGTGCTTTAATCTCACTGGTCATTCAAGTTTTGAAACTTTAAGCGGCTTGAACGAAATTGCTGAAGTTACGCGAATATTCACGCCAAGCAATGAATGTACATCTGTTTAGGAGCACTGGCGCAAGCACACCATGGTCACTTCCGATATTGAAACTGGAAAAGTGAGTCTCGCTTACCGTCCTGTAATTGACACTACGCTCGACAAGAACGAGACTGATTGGATTCCTCCGAAAATCCGTTCATATTGATTGTTTTTGAATGCATAATTTTGTAGAATGTTAGTTGTGTAGTCGTTCCACTAATGTTCAAGAGGATTGTCTTGGTTTCAATGAAACTGTTTGTTTGTTAAAATATAGGTCGTCTTATTACTTAGCGTTTCTGTCTACACTGGAGTTTACATGTAAATTATTTATGATTTACCTAAATATGCAGTGTTAATCTAATGTACACAGAGATGTCTTTAATCCGGTTAATGAATTTCTGTATGTCAGCAAAACGTTTCACAAACGGTATTTCTGTGCCTAACAATATTTGAAGAATAGCGGTCTCTCAGATCTTGAAGAAGCGTGAGGTGCCTTGTATGCAGCTACGTCGTCATTGAAAATCTCTGGTTTATGGAGGAGGTGGTTGCTCGGGCTGTTCGAGCTTGTCAGAAGGGCAACTTGGAGGGGTTGGAATCGGCCTTGGAGGAAGGTGTCTCACCTAATGCACGTGACGTTGATGGCTGTTCTCTACTTCATTGGGCAGCCATAAACAATCGCGTTACGATAGTGCAAAGGTATTTCTTCCACTTATCCGTTGAGTGAGCGCAAGTTATACTTCACAGCGCGCAACTGTGTTATCAGCTGGTCACATTTTTTTTAATGGGAAGTTAAAGAGTCCGGTACGTTTTCCACTGTAAAAGGGAGTGCTGTAGTTCACTACAGTGAATTTGTGCTTTTTTGTGAGAAGTTGGCTCATTTACTATATTGTCAAATGTTTGGTGCTACTACCGTGGCAATGAATCATTAAGAAGAACATAACGACTTCGCAAGCAAGCGAAAATTAGCAGCTGAATAGATGAGTAATGCGAGTATTCATGCAACCAACGTTACAGCTTCATTTCATTAAGTGGTACTAGATCTGCAACCATTAAGATCCTGAGATATTTGCAAAACTCCGCTCCGCTAGTGCCTGCGGCCTGCGGTGGGGAACGAGTGCATGAGGGTCCTTCATTTCGCCTGTGTGTCAGCTAGTTTTCTATCTACCAGTGCCATCGGCAATCACCCGTCAACTTGTTCGATCTTGGGAGTACAAATCAGCATTGAACCCAGTCATGCTGAGGCAATGGTTGAAATTGAATTAGTACTAGATCTGTTAGCGGTTCCGAATAGGAAATTACCTCACCAAATTTAGCAAAGTACATTAATCATTAAGTGCACCACTGATCCAGGTGGAATTTCGTCAAAAGTGATTCCACAAGTAATTATTTTACAGACAAAGGTGTACTACACAGTAGAAACGGATATTGTGTTGTTCAGGCTTCTCGAGTTGGGAGCAGATCCTAACGTAGTTGGTGGATTACTTGTGTCGTCGCCGTTGCATTGGGCCTGTCGTGTCGGTCATACTTTCAGTTCTGCGTTGCTTGTAAAAGTTAGTGAAGAACTATTTATCAGACTGAGGTTCTAATTACGAAATTCGTTGTTGCAATGAAATTGTGATGGATTTGTGTTAAGACATAACTGTTCAAAGATGACCAACAGCAATACGTGCTACATCGTTATAGTGTTAATAGCCTATTATGGAGGATAATCATTTTCAAATCGACCGTCATTTAACCTTGGTATTAAAATAATCAACTTGTTCAACTTATTGAGCCTACACGAGGTTGATAAAATTGTTTAATTTGGCTCAGATGAAGACGAAGGCTTCGAAGGGTTACCCGAATAAAACAATTTTTTTCAACCTCGTGTAAGTTCAGCAAGTTCATTAGCATATTACGATTACATGTGTGTTGAAAATCCACATGAAGTGTTTCAGTAGCGACATATTTGGATAAAAAGCTGCTTTTTTGGTTATATTTTCACGTGCTTGGTCTTGTGCAGGTTTCTATTGTGAGTGAACCATAACGGTCCAGCAATGTGAGGTTATATCATACATTCGTAGCGTCGAAGAAGTGATCGAATTCATATTTTGTCCATAAAGAGTGTTTTTCCGGGGCGTAACGACATCGCAAATCAGTTTTTTTTTCTTTTCCTTCTAAAAGAAACTTTTTTCAAATCTCTATTCGTAGACGGATGAAGGCGTTGGTAAGCCAGGATATGGGATCAAACCATTTGTAGATTACGAGACACATCTAAACACTATGATACCCCCGTATATGTACAAATGTGTTTATCAAGTCTTCGGACTCATTATGTTTATGTGGGTCAAGCTGACATGATTTACCCAGTAGAGAATTTTTCTCAATAAACAGAGGACCTAAGGAATTTTTAACATGACACGATTGTAGAAGAGACTTTATTCTTTGAGTGTTAATGGTATGTACGTTAATGAAAAGCAAAAGGATGAATCTCTCGGCTTTTATCAATTCCTAAGGGATGTGCCATGCATTCGACTTCATTAAGCATCGTTTGGAGGAGATTGAATGCTTATCTGGCCTTTACAATGACTCGCGGTGGCCTACCGATGTATCGGACCGGTGCTGCTTTTCTTCCAAACAAGTCTGGTACCTATATGCCGACCCCGGAACGATGGAGGGATTGGTGGGCCATTGGCGCGGCGATCGATCCTATACGTATTGCTGGGTGCCTGAGACCACTGCGCTACACGTCCTCTATGTGCGTTACTATTTACTATGTGTTATTATAGTCCGTATTGTAATTGCGTTGCTATAGGCATTTGGAGGTATTTTGCAATTTATATTGAGTCTATTTCGGTGATTTTTTATCCGCACACTCCATACAACAACCGTCATGACTGGAATCAAATAGCAGTTAATTGTTAATTAAATTGCCGACCAACGGACTTCTTCGAAAATACGTTTTTTGTCAGTCATTAAGTGTAGAGAATGGATTTTCTATTCCCACCCCCTCCCATTTTGAACATAGTGCGTTAAAAAAATTCCGGAACCCACTGGACTCATTATAGAGTCTACAGTGTCCATACGGTCGTTTGGTCCAGATGGCTGTGGACAGTATAATGTCTATACAGGCGGAATGGTCTAACTAGTAGTGGTCGTTTGATTGGAAGAAAAATCAGTATTCTGGCAGGGTGCCGACAGTGGACCTATTCGCTTGGCTGGTATGGTTGTTAGTGAGTTTTCCTGTCTTCGTTCGTATCGATATTCTCATACTTCATGATGAACGTCAACTACTTATTTACCAGTCGATTTCTATCCACATGTTATAAAGGTTTCAATAGTTCTTTGATTCACTTCTCTCAACAGGTGAAAAGGTCGCTTACTTTGGGATGGAAAATTGTTTTTGTCTGCCTGTAATGTAGTCTGTCGATTCTTTGCTTTAATGACAGTACCAGTAGTGTTCGGGAATGCAAAATCACTTCAGAATTGCTTGAAAAGCATTAAGGAATTAAATAAAAGTCGGAAAGAATTGAGTTTTGTAACCATAATAATGCTGAGATATTTTCAAAACTCGGGACCGCAGGCGTCTGCGATGGGGACCGAACACGCTATTACCGTTTTCGGTGGGGGGGTGCTAATACGTACACTACTACACCATGCGAGTCCTTTTTTTCGTCTTTTTCTCAGCCGTTTTAGTTTAGTTGAGTTTTAATTGTCTCACAATTTTCAGTGGGTATTTCGATTTTGTTACCCGTTCAACGCAATATATCTTCTTGGTTTCGGAAGATTTCAATAATAGCATTTCTTGTTTATAGATGATGTTTTCCTTGACGCACTAAAATGAACACCTGTTTTAATGCCCAAGTTCCGTTCTGCCACTTTTCAGGCTGGTGCTGTTTGCAATGTCAGGGACGCTCAAGGATATACACCAATACATTTGGCAGTGCAAAGCAATCAATCTCAACTCGTTGCTTATTTATTAGAGAAATTCTATTACTGTAAAGACATCACAGACAATAGCGGTATGCTACCTTAAATCTTTACCTCTCTTTTTATATCTTCTTTTATTGATGTTGCGTTTCAGTGTCTCTTTATAAACTCCATACTTTGTTGTGCTGTTGTTTTAAAAACCCCACTTTTTTTATTTTTAGAAATTTCTGTGATCCATTCTCTGTGCGATCTCTAACACATCATTTCAGGCATGACGCCTGCTATGTGGGCAGCGTACCGGACATTCGGAATGTTCCCTATTCGTTTAATCGTTCGAAGTGGAGCTAACCTTAATGCACAGGAACATCTCTCAGGCAATACAGCTCTTCATATAGCAATACAAGAGTGCAATGACACTTCGATTCGGTTGGATAACTATTTTTTATTTCCCATCAATTCTAGATCTTACTGTAGATGATCTGTTTCAACATCTCTGCGTTTAGTGAGTTACTAAGTGGAAATGCAGATGTTTCCCTGAGAAACAAGCAACAAGAGACCCCTCTCGATGTCGCAAGAAACATGCGAAATCAGAATGTATTAGGTATGTGGAACTTTTTAGACATGGTATCAGCACCATGATGATTGGTTTGAAGGTAAAAATGTCAAATATTGTCGTTTATTTGTAGACATGCTCGAGGAAGCAGCAAGAACCCAGGGACTCATACCGGTATCGCAGATGTTAAACTTACCACAGAAGACCTGGAAGAAAACCAAACATCTGGCTGGATTTTTCCTTCCCGGTCGGTGTTTCGAACCACTAAAACTTGACTAGAGAATAATTATCTTTAAGGTTATTCTTATTCTGGAATGCCGGGATTTTCATAGATCGCGTGTTTTCTGCTCGTTAATTTTTTTTTACCTATATCTATTAATTTTTCGCGTTTTTTAAAAAATTTTGGCTGTTTCAATTCACCACGATCACTCTCTCCACAGACTTTATGAAAATCGGTAAGCATTTGTTCCGCTTGGCTAGTGTTTGGTGTTATAAGTACAATATCATCAGTAAAGGGAAGGTGGGGTAATTGTCGACCATCGACCGTCGGGATGTCACACATACAGCAAGAAGATCACCAGGGCGGTGGCCAGAGTTCTTCAAGAGAATTCTAAGAGAAAATTATAAAGCTGAACGTGTCCTAACTATGATGTTCGTTTCCTGACGGTGCAGAATCTACTAGGTTACTCTTGCATTCGACAGGAGGAAGCAGAAGGTTTAGTAACCCACGCTCGAGTCGAGGATCGGTGGAAGAACAGATTATTAAGGTGATAGTTCATAACAGCTCTGAAATAAATGTGCAAACAACTCTGTCTGGTTAGGTTTATCTTTGATCCCAGACACCATTTTTCTAGCTGACACGCATGCATCGTAGTTATAAAGCAATAAATATCGACGTCAACAACCAGTGTTCCTTCAGAAAATGTGTATGCAACTTAAATGAAAACCGCGCGACGCCCACACTCGGTGAGAATGGTGTGAATGTTAAGAATTTTGGTGCTGTATCGCCATAAAAGACACACCATTAAAACGCATTCTGTCTACCATTTGCGGTCGTACTCAATCAAGGGATGAAATCACAGCCCAAGAAGTTGTTACCCAACAACATAAGAGCCAAAGTTTCTTCGCATCGTGTTTTAAAAAGTTTAAGCAGCGGGTATGCATTTTGGACTGTATGAGTCACATTTGGTCCATACGTGGGGCATTTGCGTGGAATATTATATGATTAGGGGTACAATACATGGGGAGAAATTGACCGTCGCCTCTAATCGAGCACAAGCGGCAGACAATGAGAGTTAGTCGTTGGTAATGTTTTTATTACCACTCAACGTCACTCACTTAGGTCTGAGAAGGCCGAAGGGTGAAAACGCCTACCTGTTTGCTTCCTTTCTACCCTTGACTATGTTAATGATGATTAAAAGGGGTGTGTTTACCTTAACAGAGAGAGAACATTAAGGAATATGTGGAATACCATGCTGGAAATGATTTAATCAAATCTCTTGTGTAAACAACGACACAACTCAGTTAAGCGTTCCAATCATTATGGAGTATAACTTACAATTGATGCAACATAAGATAATAGCATTGTAGCTCACTCGTCTTGATGGACCATGGGTTAAGAATAGTTGTCGAAGCAAACCACTGTGTTATTTATGCTAACTCGAAAACAACCGTTTCATCAAGGAGTCTTAACACCGCTATCTATATGATATGTTTACATCTTATCGCACACCTTTAGCAGCAGAAGATAGCTCGCCTATTGTAGTCTGATCCGGTAGCACTGTTATGGAAAACAGCCACACTGGAGGTTTCCATCCAGCGCACAATCCTGTAGAGAGAAGATTCACGTGTAAGGAAAATCCTAATGAGCTATGTTGTCACACTGGTCTCTATTCTACCCGGAAATTTATCAATGGTGACCTTTGAAACGCTCGTGAAAAACGGTGCTCTAAATTAAGCAAACAAATGTGTCGTAGATCCAATGACTCTTAAAGTCCATAGCCTCAGTAGGCAAAAGAATGTCAATGCCCGCCAGCAACTTCGTGTATCACCTGTCATTCCGTTGATCGTCGAGTAACTTGAGCGAACGCCGGTAAATCTTCCATTTTTCGCACTTCAACAGCAGCCCATTGGGTTCTGCTCGCTCTAGAGACTCGTTGAGCATCATACCTTCCTTCTAGGAATTTCTTGAAGAATTCTGGCCATCGTGTCGGTGGTCTTCCTGCCGTGTGTTTGACATCCCGAGGAATTCAGTCAATAACGCCACTTGTCCATCGTTTCTCGTTCATACGCATTACGCACGTGTCCGGCCCAACTTATCTTCGACTGTTTGGTGTACAGAACGGCATCTTTGATTTTTGGTCGTTGACTAAGGTCGGAGCTTCGGATCTCATCTTGTGTGGAACGAGATACTCTTAGCATTGTTCTTTCGACTGCGCGTTCAATAACGCTGAGTGACCTTTCATCCTGCTTACGCAGCGACTTGTTTTCTGAGGCATACGTTAGAGCAGGAAGTACCGTTGAGTCGAAAAGGTGGGCACGGAGTCAGATGTTCTTTGTTCTCTTCACTACATCCTCGATGCTCTTGAAAGCTCCCCAAGCCGCTCGTTTACATCTGCTCAGCTGAGGAGCTAGGTCGTTCATTATATTGATTTCCCGACCTAGATAGATATAACTGCAGCATTCGGAGATATTCGTTCCGTCGAGCGTGAATGGGGCATGCGAAACCAATCCGTTCTTCATGAACTTTGTTTTTGTTTTTTCAACATTGAAGAATAGAAGACTTGTTATGTCATAGTTTTCTTATATCTTGTATCGTCCTATATTTTTAAGTGTAAATTTGGCAATGTGAACTGTATCAGTGAAGATATTACTGCTGTTTTTCTGTTATGGTTTAGTGGTTTCATTATGATGAATGCTTCAGGAAGTTTAACTTTATCCTTATTTAGACCAACAGAGTAATGCTAAGAGATCAAAACTTAATATCTCATGAATTTATCTTTTCTTGGAAAATATTTAGAAGTAATAGACAATGTATATTATTTGATCAGAATGCAATCATTTTCACCCTTTTAGACTGAAGATTTTTAGGACTTCTTTTCGGTCTAATAGCGTTGGGGTTCTTCCGACTACACTATGGCGTTGTTACCGCTGTTTTGTTTGGCTTGTCCTTGGTATTGCAGTGTTTCGTCAAAGTTGATATGCGTTACGCTACTTCAAGCTTAATTCCGTTCGGTCTTTGTGTTGCTGAGCCTATAGCGATGATTATTACCTGGTATCCTTTCTTCGCATTTTTTTTGACGTCTTACAGAAAATATCCGGGTCATTTGTAGGTGCGTGTACGTGCACTGGTTTGTTTCGTGGTGGTTGCAGATGGTGTTCTTCATCATCACGTTCGTTTTATTTGCATCGTTAATCCAGTGAGTTTCACTGATCGGTTAAAAATCTTCGCGTGTGCTGTCGAATTTGACCAAAAATTGGTCTTTTGAACATCTTAATGTGTGTAATGATTCATATTCGTTTTATTCATTTATCTTTAACGTAAGGCGTCTAACGTGCATTGAGCGCAATACATGTGTTGCGAAAATCATGGCAGCTGTCGACTTTAAATCAAAATTTCTCCGCTAACATTTAACTCTGTTAATTGAAACAAGGCCGGTGTAATCCACAGGTCTTTGAATATAAGATAGAAGTCATATTATTCGACTAATATGAAATTCTGTTGTTCTGGAGCCCACGAAACCACTTTATCGCTTTTTTCTTCTCCACCTTCTGCGTTAAGGATCGTATTTACGACACGAAAGTGATTGAATTGGCGTATGTTTACGGCAGTCGTACTCGCCTTAGAGTTTTTAATAATTTGGATCTCGTCAAATTGCTGAGAAGTTTACTTCCAAAGTTTTTTACATTATTTGGACAATAGAGCAAAGTTGCTTTTATAGAGGTCTCAGTTTCTCAACTCGAATATTTTCATAATCGAGAAATTATTGTCAGTTGTCGAAAAATCAGCTCCATTATGAGCTAAGACACTAGCGACGGTTATGGTTGTTCAATAATTTTCGAAAATTTTCCGATAGTTAGTGCTTTGCAGGGATTTAGCAGTCCGCTTATAGAATGAATTTGGTGTATCGCACTGTGGTTATGTGGAGTTTTTCTCAAGTATTCTTGCATTGTCGAATTTGTCAGAGCTTTCCACTTGTTAACGAAAGTCTATAGGTTCAATTAATGTTGTATTTAATCGATAAAGTACTCTGTGAACTGACTGGAAGAGCAATTGTTTTCGTGCACGTACGCATTGAAATCAGTGCTCTTGTTGATAATAGAAATTAGCAGAAAGCCGTTGTCAACTATTAGAAAAAATTTTCTTAGTATAATTTTCGCGCAGAATTTTCCCTCATGTAAATTTGATGTTTAGAATAGTCTCATCGGATCCTGGTGTAATCGAACGTAAGAGCGATTCACGTGCACAGTTCCTAAGCGATATTGAGCAATGCAAGCAAGTGAACTATTGTTTCACATGCTGGGTAGATAAACCACAAGGTGCGAAGCATTGCGGTGTTTGTGACAGGTGAGTGTAACATATGGTTAGTGTGACTGCTCGATCATTGGTTACTTAATATCATCAAGCCTAATTGTTCCGTTGTGCATCATATTAGTTTCACTGTTTTGTTTTTAAAAGTGTAGTAATGCATTGCGCGTACAGAGTATAGTGCATTACACGTGTAGCCCATTGGTCGGATGCGCTCTGCAATGCACATAGAATTGATCCCGGTGCCTCAGGCTCACCAAGCCTTTCATCCTTCTAGGGTCGGCGAGCCGATACTAGACTTGTCCGGGAAGGCACCAGCACTGGCTCGTTACATCGATATGCCATCACGAGTCATTGTAAAGGCCAGATATGCTTTCAGTCACCTCCAACGATGCCCAGTGAAGTTGAATGCACGGCTCATCCCTTAGAGATTGACCAACGCGGAGAGTTCTATCCTTTATCCTTTACTACTGCATTGAAACTAAGAATGTAATCTGCAGTAAACAATGCATCAATAAAGTTTTGGCCGGAAGGATATATTTAGGAGTTTCTAATGGTCACAATGAGCTGATAATCCCTGTGGTGTTCATATATTAGACTTCGCACTTACTTGAATACTTGGGTGGCCCTTCTCACTGGTTGTGCGGGCCCCAAAATAATCTCCATTTTTCGGAGGTTCGCTGGTTTAGCCATTGTGGTTCTCTGGAGTCCCGTGTTCAGTCTGGCCAAACTCTGCCCCAGGTCGTCACCACGACAAGCAGTCTGCGCCTTTGTGAATAAGAGCGAGATTTGCCACCATTCGACTAGTTAGATGCCAGGACGGTAGTGGATCCCGGTTTTGGTTTACTCTTAGCTGGGCTTCCTGATGGAAGCGGCAGACTCCTTCTCAGCTTTCGAAACCCTGCCAGGGGGATGAATCTCCCGCTGTACATCGCAGCCCGACACGCAGGAACACCTTCCAGCCACGATGAGGCGGTAAACCGTTGAGAGGGACTTCGCACTATATAGGGCAATTATGTTTTCACTTCCCTCTACGATGTCGAATTCAAAGCGCATTCATAATGGCTGAATCAACTCCGAACTCATGTTTTTTGTCATTTTATCGAAGTATGGTGCAAAGCGAGTTCTTCGAGCGGTGCAGTTTAGTCCCTCAAACGTTACGATCACTTGATGTAAGTAGGGTTAGTGTTCTTCGATAGGATTTTTGGGCATCATCTAAAGATCATTTGGAGAACAAAGTAGTTAGACAATTAGTGCATACGTTGTTTCGTATTATAAGAAATAGCTGGTGCGATTTGATTTTGAAGCTTAAACAAAGACTCCGCTACTGTTATGTTTTTGTTTGTGAGTTCTTTTCAGTAAACGACGATTGTAGGTGTGTATTGCAATTCGACCATCACTGTCCATGGCTCCATCAGTGTATTACTGTTCGCAACACGTCTGTGTTTCTGATATTCGTTGCGAGTGTGGCCACATCGTCCGCTATATATTCTTGCGGAGTTGTCGCGTACGTCATCAACAAGCTTCATAATAGACTCACTCTAGGTGGGGAACGTCTTTTTTTTCTTTGTTACATCCGCTCATAGTGATTATATAATACGCTTTAACATATAGCTTCCAGTGATTTTATCGTAGGTGTACGACTTTTTTTTACACCCTTGTGTTCAATTTGTGTTTTATGTCTTCTTTACTTGTATAAAAACATAGTTGTTAGATTTTTCTTCCAATTCTCTCGTTTTAGTCACCAGTCATCCTAAGATCTTTGTTTTTCAAAGAGTCAGTACGTAGTCAAAAAATGTTAGTGTGAAAGACGGTTTTATGATTTTAATTCTTTTTTCTGTTTATGCTTGATTTCAGCCAATACAAAGCGATCGATGCTTTTCCATTTGTATTCAGGGTTTCTTTCTTCTTTTTTTTGGAATTTGGTACAAAATGCCATTTCATATTGATTAATTTTCACGTCACTACACTTTTAAAGACATTCATTCATTCATTGAAAATATGGAAGAGTCTGATCTGTTTTAAATACTTGCTTGGATACTTGGATGGACCGTTTTCACTGACTGTGTGGACCCCAGCATAATTTTTTTTGGAGTTTTGCTGGTTTGGCCACAGTAGCTCGCTGGAGATCTGTTTAAAATATTGTACTAAACTATTCATTACTGTTGCATCAGCACTTGAAAGTAGTTTTTTTTCTAAATTTTCATTGAAGGTGATGTGCTGAGAACTGATACCTGGTTGCTGTTCACTCTTGTTCTTTCTCTACTTCATACAGTCATGCTTTCTGCACTGTTTTTCAATCAATGTATGCAGGTGGGTCGTGGTTTTGTCCCGTAGTTTTCTTTTCATTCATTTCTGCTCTATTTTAGTTATTAATGCTTTTACCACAGTATTTGAATGACCTGACTTCAGTAATAACGACAAATCATGTAGGCATCCCAAGACGGACTTTATGTTAATTCTACATTGGTGAATAACTCTTATAGACATCAGTGCAATTTTAATTTAATTAGTGAATTCATCTTTTTTTCGTTCTAGAATACCGAAAACTGCGATAGAACTTTCCCACGTCTTCACTAGTTGCTACCTATCGACTATAACATATTGCCATGATTCCAATGTTTCTTGAAACTGCTTTACTCCCACTTCGGTTTCTGGACGGAAATTTCGTAATCCTCTTAATCGGTAGTAGTTCTTCTCAATAAATGATTGTATCACAACACATTACATTTCGATACTTGGGAGTACCCGCCGACTACGTTCACACGATAAACCATTGGCGATTCAGTAATTGGTCTGTTTTTAATTGTATTGAAATGCATCATAAAGCTGCATTTTATAAATCATTCCGAAAAGTCAACAAGTGTAATGGGTGCAGATTCTCAAACGTTGCTTCATCACTTCAAGTTCTTTTGAACATCATAGTGCGTTTTACTTAAGCCATGTATTGTCTTCTTCCAACAGTTTACGGCCTCATCGTTGCTGGGTGTGCTCCTGGGTGTCGGACTGCGATGTACAGCGGTGGGATTCATCTCCTCAGCAAGGTTTCCCAAGCTGAGAAGGAGTCCGACGTTTTCGTCAAGAAACCTAGCTAAAAGTAAACCAATACCAGGATCCACCACCGTTCTGGTATCAAACTGATCGCATGATGGCAAATCCCCCTCTGATCCATAAGGGTTGCGACTGTCTGTGGTGGTGAAGAAGACCTGGGGCAGACTTTGGCCAGGCTGGTCTCGGGATTTGAGGAGATTAATCAGCAAGTCTCCGAAAAGTGGTGATTATGCTGAGGTCTGCACAACCAGTGAGGACGGGCCGTTCAAGTATCAAGTAAGGTGCATTGTCTTGAAAGTTGTGCATGTAGCGCATTTGGTCGGAGGCGCCCTGCATTGCTTCATCCCTCCGAGATCGGTAAATTGGTACTAGAGTTGTTTGGGAGGATAGCAGCACTGGCTCAATACATCGCTAGGCCACGGCTCAACGCTGAGAGCTCCTTTTTATTGTCTTGAAATATCTCACATGTTGCATTTGTCCAGTGATCACATGATCCTTTCGCAACTATTAGTTATGTTGTCCATTGGAAGACTACGGTACACAAATGGGCTAGTGTTATTCTCAATTAAAATCAAGTTATTTTACTCACCACCTTCTACTCTGCTCCTGTTTTCAAGCTGTTGCTTTTAATGTTTGAGCACCTTGTGTCCACACTGGGTATGATTTTATCTTCGGCAGTCCATTTACTTTTTTCAGCGTCGGCTGCACTGGGATTATAAATATTTGGTTGAAAGGCCGTTTCATTCCGAATGGTATCAGTCTTTCTATCCTTGAAAGTAATGATCATATTTTAACCTATTAGTATTTTAAGCATAGCAGTTGTTTTTTTATAATCAGGCACATGAGTGATTGACGTTGTGTTCTCTCAAGTCCAACGGTCGTGATTCTTTCTATGGATGAAAGAATTCTCATACACGTACTTCGTGGCATACGAAGCAATCTTTGTTTTCTTTGCCTCGGAATGCAAATCTTATACGATATAGATGAAATCGAAAGTTGAAGACGTCGAACGAAAAAATGCCTTTTAGTCGTGAGAGCCCGCTTTTTCGTACTTGATAACACCAACCTTTTTCTGTGACGAAAAGAGAAAGTGTAAAGTACAAATTTTGAGAATTTTGGGTTCAGTCAGTTTTCTACTATTTCTGTAGTTCACCCCTCATTGACAAATCGCGCTTCTTTGTCAAAAAATGCGCTACTTTTTTTTACACGAGTGGTCTTCATATTGGCTGTTTGGATCCCATTACTTCTCTCCTTCGGTTTATTTGCTCGTATTCATCGTCCACAAAGGTCTTTGGAGTCTTCGGGTGTGGTTCGGTTGCTGCTTGAAGATTGTGTTCTTCTTTATAAATGTCACATGCTGGTCGACTCGGTTCTACATTAAGTTCTGGGATAGGCGGGATGGAGTGTTCTCAATTAGATTGAACGGTGCGAGCTGTTTATAGGCAATCCTGATACCAATTTTCTGATCTCTTAGAGATGACAGCCATAGTGACCTCAGGACGGGGTCGAACCAACGCCATGGTCATGATGGTGGGCATCACTGTCACTGTGCTACCCGCCACCATTTACCATATTTATTCCAATAATTGCTGTATTTTCGCTGTCGTTCTCACTGCTTATATAGACTGTCATTGGGAGCCATATATTATACCTATCGATTCCATTTGCTTAATATCGTTTTTAATCCTAGTACTCAAATTTTAGGCTTTACTACTTGTTTTTTTTTTATGAAATAGTTGTAATGATAGCCCTGAAATGGAGTTCCAGTTGGTTTTCTGTGCCTGTATTACAAGGTCCTATGGCTACTAATCCTGCTGGGTGATTCTTGTTGAACGTTCGCCGTTGTTTTATACCTTTACTTTGGCAGTTCCATACTAGGAAATCCTTAAGCATCAGGGAAATGAATGTACTGCGTTATTTTGTTAATTGGTAGAACGCGCGTTTTATGTGGTTTGCTAAGTTCTATTGCGAAAGCTGGGAAGATCTTGTTTCTACCTGATCAACGTATTTGCTAAACACACATTAAACACACACACACACAAACACAAACAAACCAGGTATATAACTTTGCTATATATCCATCCTTTTATCCGATTGTTAGAAACAAGCCGAGCGTATGTGCAATTAGCTTACTGCGATTTTTCGACTGAGATAGATTCATGGTGCGAAAGACGCTTAAACGTAATTATAGATTTGGATAGGGATGCGACGAGCGAGCGCTCTTCCGCATGGACAATTTTATCTCTTGATCAATTTTGTATTACAAATATTGAGGTTATTTCATTTTCAGATTTCTGAAAATGTGCTGACGGTCGATCGAATAGGAAGAAATCGTTCACGCCTTCACAACGGAGCAGAATTATCTAGTAGTTCTCACTCGACTCCATCCTCATTCGAGACAATCACGAGTTCAACCCGTATGCAGAATGTTATCAATTTCTTCGGTGCATCTATCTAATACATCCAAAAATCATTCGTTTCGACTTCTTCATAACTTTTAGATTTGACTAGTACGAAAATGATTTCTGTAAATATATGAGGATACTGTTTAGCTACACCGAATGCGCATTTGTTTGAGGTTTTCACTCTAAAGTTCTCATTAAGTTTTATCTGATTCCGTCTCGACTGCGCTATTTTTGAGCAAAATGCAGAAAAAGTTATCTAGTCGACGAAAGTTGGTCCATAGTGGTTAGCTTTTACAAATTTGTTATAACTGTGAAAGCGGTTTTTTATTTTTCCATTGGTCGGACCGTTTGGTTGGTTTTCAAACAGAACTGAGATTTGTTGAATCCTTATTACAGAGAACAGTAAGCGTACAAAAACTCTAGTGTTAACCTACCATATTTCTCTTCAATTTGTTAAATTAAAATACCCGACTAACTTCTACTGGGAGGTAAATTGATGAATCTTTCACGATTTACCTCTAAGCAGTTTTTTTTGCTGGTTTCCTTCGTTTTTCTTGAGTTTCGATAGATTTTTTCTAGTTTATTTCAGAGGGCTATGTCAATATGAATATGTGAATAGCTAGGATGAGATCCGCAGATGTGGTTTTATTTGTTGAAATTTACAGTGATTGTTATTTGCCGGTGACATTTACACTGTTCATTTGTTCAAATACATTGTTGTCTTCATAGAAGTTTTCCCAGTATGTTTTTTCTTTTTAAAATACTAGGAACATCAACAGCTTCATACTTGTCTCAATTGCTTTTTGGCTTTTGAAGTGATTTATGTTTAACTCGTTTCTTTTTTTTTTTCATAAAAGCCCTGAATATCTAATTGTTTCACTTCTTGACTGTGATACTTAGTATACCAGTAATCATGAACTGTATGAGTTTTACAATGTAAAATGCCTGGATCTCTTTCATAAAACTTGTTATTCAGCTTATACCGTTGTTCACACCTAGGGTAAATAAATGCCTGATGTACGGAGTCATCGATGTTTATGTGTTTTTTTTAAAGTCTTTTATGTATTTGACAGTCGCCAGACTTTCTTACAAATCTTGACCACTCTCGAATCCTTTCCAGAAATATGAGAGTTGGGCTTTAATGGGAATTTGAGCTATATTGGTGTAGTCCATGAAATGAGCGTGTCGCATGTTATTCGATCAGACTCGTTTGGTTACTTTTAAATCTAGTAGTGTTTACGATTTCCGTTGTCGCTGGTTTGTTTTACAGTCATTACAAGAGTTGACGTTAACATCAACCCGCCGAATGGTAGCATCGAACAGTTCGATCCGCGCTGAATTCCAAAAGCTTGTGTCAGTTGTGCTTTTCCTTTCATCGTAATGAAACGGCTTGTTTCATCGCAAAGATGGATGCTTAATAGTACCAATTGTACCATGGTATGTCAAAGCCGAATACACATCATAAAAGTTCACTGAACAGTCGAAAGAACGTGGTATGAGATCTTGAGGCGAGCATTGTGGAAAGTTGTTTCTATGCAAAAGAAGATGGTTTTTCATGGCCCCATAGAAAAAAGAAACATAGCACTGAAAATTAGCTTATCCTGTAGACAAATAGAAATGGAAATGTGGTGGAGCAAAGAACTAACGTGACCATGGATGTAGTACATATTTACAGTTGTCTACATTCTGTCATTAGAAAATATATACCGCTCCATGCCTACATTTAGTAGATTTTGATATATTGAGCCAACATAAAACCATTGAGAGCTAACCTCACGTTAACGTAACTAAAGAGAAAAGGGAGGACACTTGGGAGACGTGGAACAACTGGAAATAGGACAATTGGAGAGTGTTCTTGTAATTTTTGCTAAATTTTTGAGCAATGTTGAGCAGAGTTGGGTTGTCGGTTTGCTCTAGGTCACTTTTCTTCTGTGAAAACGATTTTCAGAAGGGCTTATGGAAAAGTCCTGTAACGCATATCATAACGTGATGATCGTGATAGGAGAGTTAATGAAGTGTTATGATTGTGATACCATGTATGAAAAACTGTTGGCGATTGGAGGGAAACATAACCGCTAGGCAGTGCTTTCTTCTTTGTGGATGAAATGTGAGACAAAAAAGGTTAATATAAACCAAAGGTAACTATTGTAATGCTGAGATCTTTGCAAAACTCCGGACCGCAGATGTCTGCGGTGGGGAACAAATGCGCTATTGTCCTTTCCGGGGAGTAACGCGTCCACCACCACACCTCGCGGGTCCTTCGTTTCGCTTGTCTCTCAGCTAGTTCTATCGATCTTTTCGATCTTTCGATTCGATATCTTTCGATCTTGGTAATCTTGGTAATAGCTTGAATGGTGACTTCAGAGATGACTTTTTTGTGGTTCGGAAATGTAACGTTGAAAGACATTCAATACTGTAAACGTAATCATTATCATAATTGACGATGTGATGAGTTAATGACGAGGAACTGTGCGGCTATTTATGAATTCAAATGTTGATAGGTGGAAAGAAATCAGAATTGGAATCTATTCGGATTATTGATATTGTTAAAGCTAAAAGAGCTCTGTGCGTTGACCAATTGCTGAGGGATGTACCATGCATTCGACTTTATTAAGAATCGTTTAGAGGTGATTGAATGCATATCTGGCCTTTACAATGACTCGCGGTGTATCAAGCCTAGCGATGTATCGAGCCAGTGCTGCTATATTCTCAAAGAAGTCTGGTATCAATTTGCCGACCTCGGAGGGATGGAAGCCTTGGTGGGCCATGGGAGCGGGGATCGATTCCACGTGTGTGTTGGAGTGCACCTCCGACCACTACACCACAAGCGCACATTAATATTGTTAATAATAGTAATATTTGCTGACTGTATGATATGACGTACTTTGTTTTTCGACTGTCACGTTTTCGGGCGTGTATGAATCCTTTTGTGCCCGTATACGTTGACAGTGATCATTTCGGAGAAACTCTTCAGTTTGGTGATGAAGAGAGCTAACTTAGCCATTGTGTTTACATATGTCTACTCAGAAATTTCATGTGTTTATTACGTTGTGTATTGCTTGTAAGTTTTAACATTCATTACGTTGAGATCGATGATACGAGTCAAACAGACATAGAGCAGATCTATGCGTTACTATGCCATAATTAGAGGTGGTAAGTGAAGGACTCAACGAATATGTTGCTTTCGTTTCTGCTTCTGTTTGTGCCCATGGCTTATCCAAATCTGATGAATTTTGCTGCTCTCTTATCATCCTGATGTGCATCGTCGTAGTACTCAGCTTCATCGATTTCGTCGTCCTGTAAAACATGTGTCACAATGAAGGTTAGTTTTTGCTATCTGCTCAGCCCAATCCATCAATGCCAAGGAAATTTCTGGAGGATATGAAGGATGCAAACTGCAGAAATAAAAAAGGCTGTCATTAATTCCAAAAAGGTTTGGTTCGTCCATTTCTCCCTAACTTTTGAAGCATGTTCTGTTCTCCTTTTCTGTAATATGAGATAGAAAGGTGTGTTTAAGTCAGTTGTTAGAAGTGTCGTGCAATACACATTTGGTCGTTTGTTCGATCGTGCACCACGGGTTCAACAAGCTCTCCATCTCATCACAGTGGCGAATTTGCCACGAGGCTTCTTTTGAGATATTAAAACACTGATTTGATACATCGGTGGGCAACCAGAATTTAATGCAGAGGTCATATTTCCATTCGGTCAGTAGTGCTTAATGGAGATGAATTCATGGCGCATTCCACAGGAGTTGATGAACACCAAACGCGCCACAAAAAAAGCATTCTTCGTAAAGCATTATGCAGAGAACTCTTGATTACTGCGAGTTTTTGTTCCTGTTCTCGTCTGGCTTCTTATCTGAACAAGTAGCATTGGTCAATAAAGGAATCTATCCAGGTCCATCCATATCTATGTTATTCATTATATTTGAGAGCATTCAAGCGAACAAAGAGCATTTGAGCACTCGAACGAGATTACTTTTCTTATAGATGTCATCTCCATATTCCACTTCTAAATGTCATTATAGCGCGTATGGAAAAATAATCAGCGCTACTAAGCTCTAATGTGGACAGCCGACTGTGAAAATCTTTAGCCAACATCTCAAAAACCTTCCGACGATTACGTTGTTATGAATTTTTCCTGCTAAATGATGAGTTAGAGAGGTATTCTTGTCGTTTTGAATGTAGCAGCATGTCAAAAAGGTTAGCAGTAATGTAAATAAGATTAGCATGACCGCAAATAGACTGCTATAACGTTTCACATCATTTTAATGCCTATGTAAACAAGTAGAATGTTTTGTACTACTAATCGAGCTTTGTGTTGAGAATTTTTGAACGGAAGGTCCATGTCGAATAAACGTTGAAATGCATTGTTCTCAATGCTCGGTGTGTTTCACAAAATCACTGGACTCTTCCTGTTGAATAAACACAGCATTATTAGGGTGAGTTCAAAATAGCCGAAGTCAATGGTAATGAGCATCGTGAATCGGTAAGTTCTAATCCACATGAATTCCTTTTTGCATGCAGTAGGTTGTATTGTGTTTATTTTTATGTAGTATTTGGATTTACATCGTTTAGATTACGAAATCAGCCATTAGTTCGGCTAAGATTGGTGTTCACTAACATTATTCTCTTGTTTGCTGTAGTTTTTAGAAATCGTAAGATGAAACTTATGTTAACTAATATTACTGGGTAACTGGTGTAAGGGCAGCAGTGTTCTAACTGTTAGATATCATATAAATGTATGAGTGATGAAGACGAGAACGAAAGTGAAAGGTGGATGAAACGAGCATGAGTCTTTGTCCCCATGAAGTTATGCATTCTATGAAATTTCCTCTGTTTCGCAAGCAATCGACGTTTATGGTTGAATGTTATGTAGAGTACTGTAGGGCTAACTAACTGCTGTAGAAGTAATCGGCAATCTAGTAGACTTCCAGTTGGAAAGAATTTAGCCTAAATTTTGTGTTTTTCACCTAAAATAATTATTCTTTTGAAGCATTTTTATGATTTTCGTCGTAGTTTAGATCTTTAAGTATTTGTTATGCGGTCAGTGGTAGTCTTTTTTCCAATTATGCCAACGTCGTAAGTGTACAACAATAAAGATTCCGCAAAGTCTGACTACTACAAGGGGTTTACATTGCTATTTCCGGTATGGCTTCATATTTCCTCTCTTTTTGCGCAGTTAAGGATTTTTTTTTCGCTTGTTTTCGCTGTTATCTGTGTTTTCATAACTCAACATAATAGGGACTAGTCATGATCATCGTGGTTGACAGTGAATTTGGATGTTTGATGCCTCACGAGGTTATCTGTCTTATTATTTTTTGGGCATGGTTTTCTTCTTTTGGTTAATGGCACCCATCGAAACAAGATATAATTAAGAGTTTTTTTTATTTAGTTGGCTGAACCAATATTGTGCGAAAAATCTGTTAATCCGAAGGTGGAGGTTGAGTGCTAAGTATAGTTTTACTGCTGATACCTCGTAGATAGTGAAAACGGCGTTGATAACTAAGGTGCTCCAAATGCTACTCAATTTCTTGTCGCTCGTGCTGTTGCAAGGAATTGAATACGAATGCCCAGAAAATATCGTTATTCTATTCAATTTTTGCTATTAACGTGTTGGAAGTAGTATAAAATGTTTAGTTTAAATAATCTCAAAAAATAAAGCAAAAAGGACAACGTCATTTGGTAAGATTCTCAGAACGTTTCGTTGTCGCAGAATCGAACAGACACTTCAACTTCGACGGCATCGATGACAAAGAAAAAACGTCGTATGACGTGAACCACGCACGGCAAACATCGTTCAGGGATCCTTGAGTTTATTTACATGCATTTTTTTAGTCTTCGAAGTATCTCTGGATTATAAAAGAAGGCTATGTTAATTTTCGATGTTAATCTATCCGTTGAAGATGAGCCTCACGTTCCATTGAATTCGTAGCATTTTAGAAGTGATTAAGTTCATATTTGCGCTCTATAATCACTTGTACCGACTGGTCAAGTTACTGTTCCTTTTTGATCCTCATAGACTGGTGTGGAGCTAGTTTACAGATTCGGAAAGTATGAGAGGCTGGTTTAGCACGAGATGCGATGTCGAACCAAACGCCATTTCTGTATTACAGAAGATCATCAACCATTGTTCTATTCATGCTCGAATGTATTTGAAATGGTGTAGAAGCAAAACCAGTAGCAGCGATTCTCTGCTGCTTTCTATCTTGATTTGAAGTCAAGATTCTAAGGTTTATGTTCGGGATGTCGTTGTCCTCTAAATCATTTTCCAACATTAATTACTTATCCGGGAAAACTAAACAAAGACGAGCTGGTTATAAAAAGCGTCCAATATTCTGACATTTTAACGTCTTGTTTCAAAAGTGGAGAAGTTCGAATCAGACTTTTTAGAAAGCCAATGGGGAGTTCCTTAATTAAGGAACTTTGAGGCTTTTTCTAACCGCAGCGAAGTTAATGCAGAGCGGCGTCAATACCGCTTGCAAAAGTTCCATGCAGCACAATGGCACACGACGCACGTTGAGAAAAATAATATAATTGATAAAACAACAGTTTGGCGAATTTTTAACTTATCTCTCATGAACATCTCATTCCTTATTGTGAACCATTCTCAAGACCTCTCCGTTCGGCAAACTCTAGCTCTCCGGATCCCTGTTGAAGAGAAGCCCTCAAATTTTATCCTCCGATGCTAGAATACGGTGAAAAAAGCGCGACACTACTTCAGCTCAAACGTCGACCAACAGCTTGCTTCTTGAAAATTGGAATCTATATAGGATGTGGTTTTTGCCCTTCATGATGTTAAACCTTTGAATTGCTAACCGACGAAGGTGAACTATCTGGATAATCTTAATCTTAATTCTGAGAAGGGTTCTACTTCACGGACTAGAAGCAAAATGTGGCTATGACTCCATGAAATAAAACATCTGGGAAACGAATCCGAACGAAGAAAATGAGCGAAATTTCTGATCAAGATTATAAGGACCATGACTAGACAACATGTAAGTTTGCACATGCCACTTGAGGGAAGATCCGTCGAGCTTTCTTGGAAGATGGAAAAAGCATCTTTTGAAGCTAACAAATTGAATGGTTAATCAACTAACATTCTTCTCCTAAAGGCTAAATACTCTTTATCACATGAATCACCAATTCATTCGGCGACTTTGCGAAATATTTTGTGTCTGCAGAATAGTAATGATGGCTTACATCGAAAAATACTCACTTTCATATTATTGTCGCTTCGCCCAAATCGAATGAATTTCGCACCACCACCACGTCCAAAGCGAATGAACTTCGGTGCTCGAGCGATTCGTTGACGAACATATCTGTCGTCACTGAAATACGTGAATTTCATTCCGGGAAATCTTTACTGTTCACTTTTCATTGTTAGTTTTGTAGAATTCTCTTTTTTTTGCTCAGTCATACTACGGTTTCGGGTTGTTCTTTAGTATCGAAATGCGATCTGCAGTAGGCTGTTCATTTTCTCTTTGAACATGATGAGGAGTTCATGTAAAAACTAAAAACCCAACTAAAAGTAAGCCAATCTCAGAAATTGCCTCAATGTGGGAAGAACCCAGTCTTTATAAGATAGCAGAGTTCGCTCTAATCCACAAATGCGGTTGTCTATGGTGACAACCTGGTAACGCCATGAAACGGTTTTCTCCCGAATCTACGGAACAGTGTTGTCAAATCAACACTTGCTTTAATCTTTCTTAAACAAGTTAAGTGGAGAATGTGCTTTTTCTTGCACAGTATTTTGTGAAGCCGTGGCACTCAAGTTTCAATTGATGAGCAATTTATGCTAGAGCAAAACATCGACGAGCTCAACATCCACTAAATAGCGATCTTCTTCAAATTGTTTCGAATAGGATATGAGTGTAAAGTGGATGCAGAAGGCAGATACCTACTTTGTTTTAATTTCTGATGCGCTCATTTATTTGCTTATGTCTGGTAAAATGCTGTCTCACATTTTATACTGTTTCACATCTGCCATAATGTACGCGATGTATCATAACATTCGAAGACGTGGAACGTAATTGAAAATGAGCGCCAACCTTAATCCTTTACTTAGTTCACCGTTGGCAAAATACCACAGCCCAGTAATTCTCATTAGTGAGAATAATTGCGAAGGAATTTATGAATGAAATACGCACTAAGGACTTCTTGAATTGATTAAATCAATGGAAGGATATTTTCCTCGTCGACAATGTTTCTATCAACGGATCGATTTTGATAGATTTTCAAGTGTCGTAAGCTTTATCAAGCATATCTGATATTAACGAAAGCTGGTCAGTTAAAAATTTATGATGAAAATGGTCGTTAAGTAGGCGACTGACACAAAAGTCTAATAGTGCATGGATTTCTCGAAAAGTCCTAGTGCAATAACTTTATTCGCCTATTTATGCCCGTATATGGATCTTAGCACTTCTTCTATTAGCGTTTGTTTTCTGACTTGGTTCGATCGCTACTTGACGATTTAACTTCTTCATGAATGTCGTCGAATGCCAGTTGAGTCGATTCTTCATATCCTGACATAACTCTACTAGAGTGCTCCCACATCATTGCCACAAGCAGTTGCCATTCATTATGGATTGGAAGAAGCTTTTCTCAAACTAGTTTCGTACTGATTTGCTAGCTTCGGAGTTTTGGGAGACTTGATTGACGGGCGTTGAGTTTTAACCAATCACCATGTATGTATTGCAGGGCACCTCTAAACCAATGTGCTAAACACGTTTTGACAAAGGTTTTAAACCAAGGAAATTCTTCGGAATATTATCAACTTAGGGTGCGTTTTGATTTAAACAAACAATGGTTTTTGATGACGTTATGTTGATGTGAGGTAAGAACTTAACCCGAATTTAGGCTTAAATTAAACCACGGGCCTTAGAGGTACTGCAGCATGCTCATTCTGCAGCTGCATCGAAATAGCTGGTCGAGATCATGAGTGCTTACTTAAAAAACTGTCATGTAGCTGAGTAATGCTAAAGCTGTTGTAGGTTTTTTAGTAGTGTTTTATTTATTGTTTTAACCTTCGTTTATGAATATACAGCTTATCGCTCAGCGTGACTTTATCTGAACATGGTTTGCTCCTCAAATTTCATTTGTTGTAGAAAATTTGACTCCATTAAATGTAGAAGAGTAGAACAGGACCACGGTGGTCAGATTTCTTCCTCCATGCTTTTTTTAAGAGTAACATAATTCCAGTATTCACTACTTTAACAGAGCACCTAACAAAGCACATCTGTAGAATTATCTGAAATGCTGCTGAAATGGAAACTTGGATATGCTGCTATAAATTTCATGGTCCTTTAATCCTGTTCCGACAATACCGTTTTGAAATAGAGCTATCATTTCTAATAAATGCTTTTTTCTTTTGTTTTGAAAAAAGGAGCTTAAGCTTTCCATGTCTTTTGACCAAAAATCTGCAACCTGTTGAAGGTTGACTTAATATCGTACGAGGTACACTTTTGACTCTGGTGCCTCTAATTTTTTTTAATGAGAGATAAAAGACGTCAATTCTGCTAATCTCTACGCAGAGTACGCTACACACCGTAATCACCTAAGCATATTTATAGGTTAAACGAGTAGTTATCTGCTGGAATAGTGCTAAAAATAGTATTCGTGCTTACAGTACTTCTTCATAGTGAGGAGGCTAACATTAGTTTTACAACAGGACATTTTCCTTGAAATGCAAACACCTACACTTAGTCTGTTGTTGTTTTTTTTTCTTTCATTGAAATCAAGAAAGCGAGAAAGATTGTGTGAATGGGGATGTTCGATTTTTTTGTATTCTTATGTTAGCGAACACCATATAGAAACGTTACCGTACTGAACTGAAAACTAAGTGTGGTAGCGAGTCGGTGACTAAAATTGTTAATTTCAAACTTGAACATTGAGGTGAGTTGTCTTTTACTTTGGCAAATTCATCTCTACAGTGTTTCACGACAACAAGGTATTCCATCTTAAGCGATTTTTTCCTTCGAAATCAAACTTGGAGTTCGGAAAGAAGAAAGATTATTAATCAAACCGTTGGTCTGTTTTTCTATCAGCTTGTAGAGGGTTTTAACAGAATCCCTTTTTTTCTTCTTTTTACCTTTCTGATCCACTTTTTATTTACAGTTCTCAACAGTTTTTCTTACTAAACACAAAAAGTAGATGTTTCTTTTAGTATGCTCTAAAGGAATGGTTATGAGGTTGTAGACCATATGAGCAGGACTCCCGTGTTTCTGAATGATAATTCAGCTAACAACATTTTTAGCCTTAAAACGCTAGTTGGTTCCGTTTTCAAAAAATAAACTCGTAGAATTAATTAAATAGCAAGCTGACATAACTGGAAACGTCACTGCTTCGGCAGCTCCTTACGTTTGCAACAGAATGCAATAGAATGGTCCTGTGACTTGTTTTATTAAAAGATTAATAGAAAAGAAGATGTCTACGAAGTTTTTTACTTAAGCAATTAAACGCCACGTTACAACTGTTGTTGAACGGATGAATAGCGTTATTCCTTTTGTTTTCTATGCTTGCACTTTATGGGTTAACCGTGACCCTTTTTTTACGAAAACTTGAGCAAAATGTGCGGACAAATTTTCCTTTGTATCTTATAGTCTATTGTGATATTTTCTTCATAGTATGAAAACTTTACATACAAATAATATTGCCGTTCTCATGTGAATGACAAGGAATGAAGCAGATTTCTATGAATCTCGAAACTTCTTTGCTTTTCATTTCGAAAAGAGAATAAAGCAAGCACAGAATATGTCACCACTGTACAGACAAGGTCAACATACTAATACGGTCATTCTACTAACCTTTCTGTCGTAGCGTACTGTAACATGAAAATGGCGACAATAAAGAGTGCAGCGTATGTTGTGTGCTGTGAGCTCATCTCGTCCAACGACGTGCTGACAATGAATGGGCGGTGCTCTGTTTGCCCACCTCCTCTCGACCTCGGCGCTGTTCCGCCGCCCTCCTACTCTTCCGGAGTCCAGAAATTCTAGGATCAGATGACAGATCCTGTTGCATCTCAATAAGTGTAGAAGAGTAAAGCGTTCGTTGTTAATAAATCCGTTACAAATGCACCATCCATTCGACTAGCCATATATTGAGTCATTATTTTCATCTTCCTCCACAGGTCTGCTAGCAGTCTGCTGTCCTAGAGGAATACGGACTTGTTTTTGCAGTGAACAGAACCAAGGACCATCTACAACTCATGGCCTCTGCTAATCTCAAAATTTTTCCGAATTTGAAAAAGGCGTAGTTTAGTCATCTTATTAGTGTAATTAACTGAGCGAGTTAGTTTCGAGAACTGTAGGGTGAACACGGTAGTGGTGTACAGTATTATTTGGAGAAGGCTCTATGAGCAACGAGAAAATGTGTTTCCGACAATTTTTTTTCTTTTGCTAACGATTTGCTGAATCCTGTATCGGAACTCACACCCTTGACTGAACCCTGGGCTTAGAATTTTTTAATGCTACTGCTTTTTCGGTGTTTTCTTGCAAATTTTCTAATAATAAATCTTTTGAGCTACAATCAGATTTCAGGAACGGGTGGCACAGTGAAAGTGGTCTTGCTCATTACGCGAACGACAGCACCTACCTAAGCTCTGAATTCGTTTCCGCCACGAGTGTATCAAACTTCTCATTCCTCCGGGGTTCCAGAATTGGTATCATACTTGTCTGGTGCTCTCCCACATCTTACAATACACGTGGGAACACTCTAAAACGGCTATCTCAAGAGCTCACGTAAAGTAGACTCGACCACCATTCGACAACATTTGTGAACAAGACGGAATAATCCTCAAGTAACAACCGAACCCACACATAAGAAAATGAGATGACCACCGAATAGTGGATGCGAGGGAACGACTCAAATGCAAGAAGTGCGAGATGCGCACAGTGTGATACATGTGCAGTCGAGTTAGGTTGTAAAGTGAACGAATGAAAATCAAGTTTCTAGATTTTTTGTTTATTGTTTTGGAAATGAAAGCGAAATACTAGTGAGAAAGTCTAGATTTTCAAATAAGTGTGGGTCATTTTAAATTCACGAAATCGATCTATAGCTAAGCCAGTAATGATAAGAAAGCCACTGTTTTCTGCTCGTTGTAGTCGGGACGTTCCTAATGGAGTTCGGCTTCTTTAATGCCTACCGGAGGATATCTTAGCAAGCAAGCTTACTTGGCCAAATGTCTTCATAACCAGAAAAAAACTAAAATATAGCTTTCACCAATTACTAAGAAGCCTTGTAAACCGAAAGTCATACGAGAGGCAAATTGTTCATTCGACTACGCATACGATTCCAAGAATATAGGCGAAGGCACGGCGTATTACTAGAAGTTTTGACCTATGCGGAAGCTTTACTCTTTACACTCTTTTAAAAAAACAGCTGGAAATATGAGTGAAAACGAAATGAATTAATTAAGTTTCTTAATCCTGATGAAGTCGAATTTATCCATTTCCAAATTGCAAATGAGTTGCTGTCCGGTGAAAAGTGAAATATTAAACATCTGGTACGAGGTTTTTCTACCTTTTGTAGAGAAAAGTTGGCCACATAAATCTCGCAAGGGTTTTCTGACAAAGGTTTTCTCATAGCTGGATTCTGGATGAAAATATGGTGCCACTTTTCGGCCTAGAAAACGATGTCGATCTCTCTCTGTACACTGCGGTTTTGCACCGAGAAGCCTCCAAGTATTGATGAGGGTGCTAAACAATTGTGCGACTTCCATTTCAAAGCCTACATTTATATGTTTTAGAACTTTCATTTTGTGTTGAGATTAAAAATGTCCAACTAACCATCTTGGCAATGAAACTGATCTATATGTATTCTTTCTTGATGAGCCTACACGAGGTTGATAAACATATTTATTTCCGGCTAGCGTTCCGACGTCTTCGTTTTCATCAGAGCCGATGGTACGAGTCGATGGTCCACGCTTGCTTTTCTTCTCGATGTGGCGGCTTCGCCTTGATGTCGAGTCAGGTCTTCCTCAGTGGGCCATCTCCTCGAATGAGGCATACTCACTCGGTGATGTCCTTTTATACACGATGCTGATGGTGGATATACAATGACATTGTCCGGTGATAACAACTTGTCTTCCGGACAATGCATCGTGCAGAAGTCGGTGTTATTATCAGCTAGTACAAAGCATAGCAATATTTCGAAACCGACTTTCCTTTAACCTCGGTATGACTAATCAATATCATGTCCAGTTTTATATCAATATTATATCAGTGTAAATTTGGGCTAATATGTGTACGGAATTAGTTTCGTGCTTCTTTTTTCATCAATAAAATTGTTATTTCGTTCAATAAAATCCCCTTTCTTCTAAGTTCGTTGTTTTTCTCTTTTTTAGTTCTTGAGATTAAATCAATACTTGTGTAATAAAAGGCATGATTTAAATCCTTAGCTGTTTACGTCTTCAATAGTTGTTGAAGTATCATTTTGCCTTTGAAATATTCTAAACCTCAAATTTGAGTACTTTCATCTCAGGGCATCGTGGAGTTTATTGATGGAGACAAAAATCGGTAGACTCTAGAAATATTTGTACTGAAAAGATCCCTTCTCGTTCTACTTCGATAAAATTTTGCCTTTTTGAAATCTGTAAAGCGTTTTGTCTCTTATTTTTAGGTTAGGCTTATATCTCGAACATGCAAAAATTAAAGAAGCGGGATTTCAACCAGTGGAGAACTATGGTTACCACCAATATGGCGTTAGCGATTGCTGTTGCCATGCCTACGTCAATCTAATTTTCCTTTTGAAAGTTTGAACCTTGAAAATATTGGCTGCGTGGTTAGTGTTTTAGAAAGATTCTGCCACCTGGTGAATGCCTTTGATCCAGACGTCATCCAGGGAGCCAGCAACAAAAAGTGGTTGCACTCAACATTTTCCCGATTATTACGTTGATAAATATGACTACTACCAGAAGGTTAAATTTTGGTGATTGAGTAACCGCGAATATGAAATACGGTGTACAGTGTTTCAATTTACTATTTACTTTTTTTTTCATTCTATTTTTGCGTTCATTGCGCTAATCGGAAAGTTAGTATCGTCTGGAATTAGTGGTAACACAGTTATGTCTAGTATCTATATTCTATTGATTATAATTTTAGCCTTCAATTTTTAGGAACATATATTTTCTATTTTGTGCTATTAAATATGATGTTCATAGAACTGCATAAATTTTGAAGTCACACTATCTTGCTGGGTGCATGTAGCGCAGAAATTAAATTGCCCAACAGGACGCACATAGCCACCGATTCGATTCCACACGTCAGAATGACCAAACATTCTAGTCCTCAGAGGTTGGTGCATTCGTGTCAGAGATGTCTGAAATGTTAAAAACACTGGGTTGATTTAACGGGAGACCATCGTAACTCATGGTAGAGGCGAAATACGCATTCGTCTACTATGATATAAGTGGAGTATGATGAATTGCACGCCCATAGTGGACTTCAAGACTGAACGCTTTGTCCTCCATTATTGTTACTGTTTTAAAAAGGCTGCCTGGAATATGGTAAAGCAAATAGGAGTTTACTTACTTGATACTTGAATGGCCCGTCCTCACTGGTTGTGCGGGACCCAGCATAGCCTCCATTATTCGGAGATTTACTGGTTAAGCCATTGTGATTCCATGGAATCCCGAGGCGATCCTGGTCAAAGTCTGCCCCAGGTCTTCACCACCATGGGCAATCGCAGTCCTTTTGGATCAGAGGGAGATTTGCCACCATGCGACTTTGATACCACGACGGTGGCGGATCTTGGTATTGGTCTACTCTTAGCTAGGCTTCCTAATGGAAACCCCGAACTCCTTCTCAGCTTGGTAGACCCTACCAGGAGGTGAATCCCCGTTTTACATCGCAGTCCGACACCCAGGAACACTTCCTATCCACGATGTAAGCCGTTGAGCGGGGAGATTAACCGAATGATATGGTGAGATTCAGTTGATTATTCATCATTTCATGTTCGCCAGTTGAAGTCAACCTATTCGTCACCTTCTTCAACAGCAAGCATCTGCAAAATCTAGAATTACCCGAAATGAATAACAAGAATTAGGCCGTTTAATGCTGTTCTTTCTTATAAGATAAATTTGCAATTAAACTGAGCTTTGATTGGGTGTGTTACAATTTTAATTGAGCCTTACTTCAACCAAATCGACGTTGCTAATCAGCAGAACAAATTTTTTGGTGTTGTACTGAGGTTGAAAAAAATTAAAAGCAATCGTATACTGAGTGGCGAGAAGTTGATTAGTCCTCTGCTAGTTTATATTTGTGCCACAAGAATTGGCCTGGATGGAAGCGAATGTTTGGGGTGACATGTGGAGCACATCAAACGAAATTCATGGGGTATTTCACAAATATCTTCAGTTGCTTTATAATTTTTGCATATCTTCAGCAAAGTGTAGTGAATTCTGTGTACAAATATCTTGTGGGATTTTTCGGAGCGATTGTGCTTCATTGTAACCCTCTAGTTGGTGTGAAAGACGTCACAAATATCGAGAGGCTTGTGAGGTACCAGAGTATTTATTCCCGTAAATGATTAAATCCAAATGAAGATAAGGAATTGCCTTCTTTTAATCCAAATAAAAAAAGCTTATCGAGAAAAATCATCTACTGAAGGGATTTGGTTTGCAGTTTAAAACGCTCATCGATGACGTGTAGCGCAGTAGTTTGAGGTACCTGAAATACTCACGTGATCCTTGGTTCGATCCTGCGCCCAGGTTTATCAAGCCTTCCAACCTTGTAAAGTCGATTACATCACGAATTTTACGTAGTGTCCGTAGAGCGCTTAAACAACATTTCCTGAAATGTTACAGTACATATGTTATTTAGTTGGGCTATGTAGTTCAGACCTGTGAATGCTACAGTACCTTCAAGATAAGCAAACCGACGATAG